GGTTGAAAAATTAACGATTTTATCGTTGGAGGGTGGTTGAAATCTATTGCTTGGTGACAAGGGCGACGGTGATGTGACGCGACGCAGAGGGAAATGAAGGGAGGGAGAGACGACTGCAGGCAAGGACGACGACGTGGATAATGTGATGACGATCAGGGTGGGGTGGAGGTGCCGAGCCCGCGTGTGCCGCCAGAGATTGGCTGGTAATGTGATTCCCAGGGCTGGTGAAGTCAAATGGCGCGGAGCAAGTGGCGACAGAGCGGAGGGCACCCCTCCAGGGCACCCCTCCAGGGCACCCCTCCAGGGCACCCCTCCAGGGCACCCCTCCAGGGCACCCCTCCAGGGCACCCCAGGGCACCCCACCAGGGCACCCCACCAGGGCACCCCTCCAGGGCACCCCTCCAGGGCACCCCTCCAGGGCACCCCTCCAGGGCACCTACCCCTCCAGGGCACCTACCCCTCCAGGGCACCCCACCAGGGCACCCCACCAGGGCACCCCTCCAGGGCACCCCTCCAGGGCACCCCTCCAGGGCACCCCTCCAGGACACCCCTTCAGGGCACCCCTCCAGGACCACCCTCCAGGACCACCCTCCAGGACCACCCTCCAGGAACACCCTCCATAGGACCACCCTCCATAGGACCACCCTCCATGACCTTCTCCAAACTCCAGGACCCCAACCTGCAGCGTCAGAGGGGTGCGCCCATAACAGTATAAACTAGTACAGTCACCTCCACAGTCAAAACGCTCCAATAAATGCACGCAAAACACGCGTGTACCGTTACCTCCCTTTGGACTTAAAATGTGGCAGAAAATAACGTTTCCCCAATGATCACACAAGACACAGGACACCCCAGCCTGGACGTGGCCCGCGGGTCAGTCTGCCGGCGGCGTGGTCCTTAAACCTCAGACGCCCAGCGCCAGGGCCTAAGAGAGCGAGCGGCAGGGGCGTAAGGGACGGAGGGAGGGAGGGCAGATCGTTTAGATTTCCCTAACCGCATTGGCCGTGCGACGCAAAGGTCCCTTTGATATCCGCGCGATATTGCACGTCTGCCGAGCCTGCCGGGCCCGGGTCACATCACAGGCAGACGACAACAACACAATCGAGTTAGCGGAGCGGCCCCGCCCGCACGCGTGGCCCTCGCATTCAGACAAGGCGGCGGAATGAGGTTCGCAACTCGATTTCTTTGTGGGGGATGCTTTACAGCAGGCGGGCTCTGGTCCGGAGCCGCCGGCGCCTGGGGTCGGCCGGCAGTTGTTGCTCCAGAATGTTTCCGGGGCTCCGTACCGGGCGCGAGACGACTCGCCAATCATAAACTGTTTCCTGGCCGCAGAATGTGCGGGGGAGGCAGTCCACCCCGGCGGCATACATCTCCCCCTAACGCCACCCTCGGCTTCTCATTCTTCACAAGGCGCGTGCAAAGGGCGGGAAAATATCATGCCCGGTTTGAAATATGCTTCGCGGGTCTCGCGCACCTGCGCTTCACCCGGACACACAAACGGCTGCCCCGGAAGGGGAGAAGTCAGATTGAGAGAGGGAGAGAGGCAGACAGGAGAGAGAGAGAAGGAGAGAGAGAGAAGGAGAGAGAGAGAGAAAGAGAGAGAGAGAGAGAGAGAGGAGAGAGAGAGAGGAGAGAGAGAGAGAGGGGAGAGAGAGAGGAGCGTGTCGGCGCGTGCTGCCCAGACAGAGGGGCATTAAAGTCCTGCTCATGGCCGTATCATTGTCATCACGGTTCGATTAGCACCGTGAAGGAAAAAGTCACGGCGGCGGCGTCGGCAAAAGAACCCGGCAGTGGGGGGGGGGGCGCACCACGCCAAGCAAGCCGAGCAGACTTGGCGACACGGGCAGCCGTCAGCGCGGCGATACGACCGACAATTATCATTTCGGCCGACCGATGAAAAGAGACACACAAATGAAAATAAATTAAAAAGAGACAAGATGAATGAATGGAGAAGGGTAAAAATGATGGGCTGAAGGGGGGAATGGGTGTTGGCAGCGCGTCGAGAGTGAGGGGGGAGAGGGGCAGCTTGTAACCGAGGAGAAGAGAGGGGAGGAAAGGAGGGAAGAGGGGGGCGGGGGCTCAGCGGCGGGACCCGGGCCCGGTCGGGCCCCATTTCGCTCAGTTCGCTCATCATTTGAAATATGGACTGACCGACGTTACGTTCACGATAAATAACGCAGTAGGAGGAGTGGCCGAAGGGCGTCGCGGAAGAAGCATGGCCGGTGGGGGAGGGAGGGGCAGCGGCAGGACGGCGCGGCGGCAGCATGTCTGTTGGCAAACCTGTCCGGCCGGAGGGGCCGCCCGGCGCCCGGTGACCACCGAACGGCGGGGCAGTTACGAACCAAACAAACGCATGTACACTGTAAAAAATATCGTCGTAAATTTAAAAAACAAGCAGGCCCGCCCTTCCGCCAAACGAAGTTGCCAGCTCCGCTTGGCTCCGCCAGCAACTCCGTTAGGCAGGGGCCGGGCCTGCTTGGCCTGCCGGTTCTGTCACGCGATTTGCTGAGGAACATGATCGAATGATGTAGCGGGCCTTCGGCCCGCTTAAACCCGTCGTCTTTGAGTTTGCCCCAAAGACTCGATAAAGGGATGTAACGGTGAAGCACCGTGACTACAACCCACCCTTCTGCTTTGAAAACGTTTTTAGGGGGTGAGGGAAGAGTTTCCTTTCTATTTTGCGGTTTTTCGGCCTTTTACTACAACTTATTGTTCACTATGGCAATTTTTAGCTTATTTTTGTCAAAAAAAGACCCTCTAGCGCCTAAACTGTTAGAGACAGAGCAAAACAGACGAAATTTTCGCCCAAAGGGCTCTACTTTGACGAGTTACCCCTTAGGGAACATAAAAAAAAAATTACTGTTTGGAAGAATTTTTGAACCTTGGATACCCCCATTCACACCCTTAGGGGTGGTTGCCAGGATTTGCCGTAGGCGTTTCGTTCTCTAGAAGTGGACCTTAAGATACCCTGAAAATTTCAAGTCTCTAGCACATCTCCTTCTAGTGGAACAGACAGACAGACACACAGACAGACAGACAGACACGAGGTCGTTTGCATAAGCCCGCTGGATAGCTTTTTCAAAGCAGAAGGGCGGGCTAAAAAATGTAAACTTTAATTACAATTTAAGTTGTAAATTTACGAGAGCACATTTTTTACTCGCCAATGGATTTGAAGTCGATACGTACTGCATGTTTTTACGATTCCACATTGTAATTTTACTCCTTGCGTCAAGGAAAATTTTCCTGTAAACCTACCTACTATTTTTTACAATGTACCTGTGCCAACTGTCAACAACAACTGTCGTTGGTCGGTTATGGTAGACGATAATAGGTTAAGGCGGGCTGGAAGTCAACAACCTTATTATTGTTGCTGTGAAAGCAAAATTGTTGCCAGTGAAAGCCACATGGCGTTACACACTAAACCCTTATGCGTTTTGCTGAGCATTAACTTGCAGAATTTTACGTAACTTTAACTTTATGCGCTATGCACTATTTCGTGCATAACGATGTAGGGCATAAATATGAATAAAAGTTGTGCTGCTGCAATCCGTGGTAACACCGGTAAAACAAACACTGTAAAAAAAATTCTGAAAATTCAGTAGATGTTTTTCAGAATCGACACTCTAAATCTTGTTTTCAGACCATTACTCAGAATTTTTTAAGTTTAGACTGAAAATCCATACTCTTTACTCTGAATTAGGTTTCCTAGCAACTTGTCTGAATATTTTAAAGTATATTTTCAGACTATACACTGAATCTACAATTCAGAGTAACCGGTATGAATTGAGTGGAAAGTCCACCGGACAGGCCGACGAAGCACACGAGTAGCCGACGCTGCTCCCCACGCAGGTAGCCGGCAGCCGAATGGTTAAGGATGCGGCTTCTGAATCTGAAGGTTGGCGGTTCGATCCCAACCAAGGGCAGTACCGAATGGACAGATAATTCCTCACCTGGACTTAGCCCTCTACCCCCACAGCTGTTACGTCGCTCGCTATGAGTTCATTTTTAACATTTTCAAAACTATTTTCATACCGGCTGTCTGAATTTTCAGACTTAGTGGTATGGTAAGGCACTACTGAAATTCCAGACCCGGGCGCAGTCTGAATTTTCAGACTACTGGTCTGTAAAAAAACTTCAGACTAAAAGTACTGAAAATTCAGTAAAGCTTTTTTTACAGTGAAGGTGTGACTAGACTGAACACCTTTCCAGAAATGTTAAAGTCATAAAAGGCGTTAACGATTTAGTTTTACCAAAATATTTTCTAATGAAGCAAACCAAGGTTTGTAGGACTCATATTTTCGTATATTCAGCTTAAAATTCCGCTTCGATCAAGCCGACATGTAAAAGGGTTCAGATCCCAAATGAAAGAAATTTAGTGGATTCCTGAGAGTCAATGAGGTGTTTTCCGAATTAAAAGAACAAGAGGAATATCGTCTGCTCCCGGACCATCACAAAGCCTCGACCAATCAGAGAGAACCTCTCTCGGCCTCTCTCGTGGCCGGCTCCAGAAAGGCCGTCTCTGATTGGTTGAGGCGTTGTGATGGTCCGGGAGCAGACGATATTTCTCTTGTTCTTCTAATTCGGAAAATACCTCATTACTTCTTTCACCGTTCGTCAGACATATATGACATAGGCTCGTTTAAAGCGGAATTCTGAGCTGAATGCGAAAATATAAGTCCTACAAACCTTGGTTTGCGACAGCAAAAAATATTTCAAAAAAACTAAAACGTTAACGCTATTAGAACTTAAATGCCTTTAAAAGGTGTGATGTCACACCTTTGTTACCAGTGACTGAGTCCCTTTGCAACGGCCTCCCACAGAGGTAAAGAGCACGTCGTTGAGAGTCTCCATCGTATTGCATCCGAAGGAACCGGTGACCCACGAGAAGAGCGATAGAGTTTGAAGGTTTTTAGGTTCCGACAGATTCGGGCGCGACTCGTTGGCGCGCAACCACTCAGTGTCAGGGAAGGTCCACAGACAAGAAAAATAAAAATACCCCGTATAAAAGGTGACCTTTATTGACAATACCAAACTCTGCACAATACAATAAAAACAAATGAAATGAAACATTAAAAGCTAAAAAAGAAACAATATTACATGACTTACAGTACACTCACACTTTGGCTAAACAGAATAGATACGTAGATACAAACCAATAACCTCAACACACTTATGGCACTCACAACAAGAGAGTATCGTCCTAGGACTTTAAAACAGACACTATGTTAGGCAGAAAACATCTGATATGCTAGGTCTTGTGTGTTTTGGCATGACTACGCAAAAGTTGACGATGTGAAAACGTCTTGTGGCACACAGTGCACTCAAAGGGCTTCTCTGCTGTGTGCGTTTGAACATGGTATTTCAGTCCGGAACTATGTGCAAACTTCTTGTTACACACACTACACTCGTAAGGCTTTTCTCGTGTGTGCGTTCGGAGATGAGCACGCAAACTACCACTTTGCGTAAATTTCATGTTGCACACTGTGCACTCAAAGGGCTTCTCGCATTTGTGCGTTCGGAGATGCACACGCAAATCCCCACTTGTCGAAAATTTCTTGTTGCACACTGAACACTCATAGGGCTTTTCTCCTGTGTGAGTTCGGAGATGAGCACGCAAATGCCCACTTCGCGCAAACTTCTTGGAACACGCACTACAATCAAATGGTTTTTCGCCTGTGTGCGTTTGGAGATGAGCACGCAAACTACCACTTTGCGCAAATTTCATGTTGCACACTGTACACTCAAAGGGCTTCTCGCCTGTGTGCGTTCGGAGATGAGCACGCAAATTCCCACTTGTCGAAAATTTCTTGTTGCACACTGAACACTCATAGGGCTTTTCTCCTGTGTGAGTTCGGAGATGAGCACGCAAATCCCCACTTTGCGCAAACTTCTTGTTGCACTCGCTACACTCAAATGGCTTTTCTCCTGTGTGCGTTCGGAGATGAGCTCGCAAATGCGAACTTTGCGCAAACTTCTTGCAACACGCACTACAATCAAATGGCTTTTCGCCTGTGTGCGTTCGAAGATGATCACGCAAAGTTTTACTTTCCGAGAATTTCATGTTGCACACTGTACACTCAAAAGGCTTTTCTCCAGTATGCGTTCGGAGATGAGCACGCAAACCCCCACTTTGCGCAAACTTTTTGTTGCACACGCTACACTCATCAGGCGTTTCTCCCGTATGCGTTCGGAGATGACGTCGCAGAGAAGGACTGCTTGAAAATTTCTTGAGGCAGAGAGTGCAATCAAAAAGCACACCTCTAGCGTGCACTTTCATGTGAGCTACGTGTCTGGCTTGAGTAGAAATCTCTTTCGAGCAAACACCACATTGATAGGGCATTGTACAAAATGAGCCAACGCACCCCAAGACGTTCCTGTAAAAGATAAAGAAAGTGACGTCAGAAAACTAGCGAGAGTTTGTTTGTTGCAGCCGTGGAAAATTTCGTCGGAAATTTACGATATATATTTTGTAATTATCATTACAAAATATGTTGTAAACGTATGACACCCTAAACTTGCTCGTCGATGAATTTCAAGTCGATAGAGAGTGCAATTTTGGAATGCAATTTTACGCGTGTCAAACGAAATTTTCCTGTAAACCATAGAGTACAACTTTTTTTACAGTGTTTAGAGAACACAGTTCCGGACAAATGGCTTTCGAGATCAGTAAAGAGTTCATTTGCAATGGCACGACACGGAAGTGAAGAGCACGTCGTGGCCACAGGGACTGACACGTTACAGTTTCAAGAGTGTGGGGCCAGCACCGAGCTCACAACTGCGGAGCCGGCGGCCGCCTGGCGGGTAGGCAACCCGCCGACCCCTTCGCGCGGCTGGGTAGGCAGCCCGCTCAGCCCCGGTGCTTGACGGGACGGCACACAGCAGGCGCTCGCACTCATTGTATTTACTTTCACACTGATGAACTAAAGTGCCCAACTGCTCAACACTTGTAAGTGTGCAACTGCAAGTTAAATACTTGCAAGTGTTCAACTCCGCAGTCGTAAACTTGCAAGTGTTCAACTCCGCAGTCGTAAACTTGCAAGTGTCCAACTCGGTAGGTGTGCACTTGCAAGTGTACAAGGGACTAAATACTGAGGGACTAAATGTCTGCATCGGATAGAACCCGAAGGAACCGGTAACGAGTAGTGCAATTTAGTTGTGGACAAATGTTCAAGTAAAATTAGAGAGGCCAACTTCTGGGGAGGAGCGACGGAAGGGAGAGGGAGTAAGCTGAGTCTGTCCAACGAGCGCTTTCTGCTTCAGCTCGGCCGGCTCGTTCAAAGCAAAGACTAGGCGCCACGTGTCTCGCTGCATTGTGCAGTACATCCACGGCGTACCCATAGACAGATTGAACAAGGGATCGGTCGAAGTGCTAAACCGAGGAGTTGCACTCTTGAGAGTGCACACCCACCGAGTTGAACCCTTGCAAGTACTCAACTTGCAGTTGCACACTTACAAGTGTTGAGCAATTGAACACTTAGTTTATCAGTGCAAACACGCTATTTTACAGCACATTAGAGGCGTGTTGTTCCCCGCCTTGTCGCACGCTCTTGGTCAGAGCCACCTGCCGGGCCCATCGCGGCCCTGCCCTCGCGCGCAGAGCGGCGCAGAGGGTGTTTGGACTGCAGTTAGCAGCCCCGGCAGCATGCAGCGCCGCGAGGAGGAGGACGCGGACAGCAGGGGAAAGTGAGTGAGAAACCAGAGGGGAACTAACTGCACTCCACAGAATCAGTGTGCACCATACGAAAACGCAAAAATTAACAAAAAAAAATCAAGGAAAATCAATTTTTAAAATCAGAAAGAACTCACAAGAAAATCAAAAAAGAAAAATCAAGAATTTTTTTTAAATGGGAATAAACAAAAAGGGAAATGAAGGCAAAACATAAAAATTGCTACACTATTGTATTTGTAGCTCGATTTCTAGTGAAGTCGCCACGTGAAACCCCCTTCCTCTCGAGTGCAAACGCCGCCATAGCGACGGGTCCATCCGCGTGGCGGGGTGGTCAGTGCATGGGGCTCCGCAGTGCCTGCCGGCCCCGCCGGCCCCGCCCCAGACGGGGGCCCCCGCCGGGCCCCGGTCAAGTGGCCGGGGGCGTGTTGCAGGCAGGCCCGGCACGGCCCGGCTCGGCCACCCTCCGCCCCGAATGCGGTCAGCAAATGTTCATTTTATTGCGAGTATCCCCGCGCGATTTATGAGTAGCAATAATATTCGAAATCCTTCCAGAAGAGCAGCCGTCCCCTCCTCTCCCTATACCACCCACACTCTCCAGCAGCAGCAGCCGCACTTCGTAAAAAAATAAACTCAAGACACCAGAAAAGCACAGCGTTCGTTGCATTTTCCGTAGAAAAGACGAGGAAGCGGCCGGAAAAGCATTTTTTTTCCAATTAGTCGTCTGGTACGTGGAATGCGGCTCCCATTGTAGGGACGACACCACTAGCACTGGCCGGCTGCACCCCGAGCC